CTAGTTACCAGCCCCAGGGATCTCTTTAGACTGGTTACCAGCCCCAGGCATCTCGTTAGACTGGTTACCAGCCCCTCCGCTCTCGTTAGACTGGTTACCAGCCCCAGGGATCTCGTTAGACTGGTTACCAGCCCCAGGCATCTCGTTAGACTGGTTACCAGCCCCTCCGCTCTCGTTAGACTGGTTACCAGCCCCTGGGCTCCTGGGCTCCCGTTAGACTGGTTACCAGCCTCTAGGATCTCGTTAGACAGCTGGTTACCTGGCCTGGGATCTCGTTAGACTGGTTACCAGTGCCTGGGACCTCGTTAGACTGGTTACCAGCCCCTGGGTTCTCATTAGACTGGTTACCAGCCCCTGGGCTATTGTTAGACTGGTTACCAGCCCCTTAGTTTTTATGAGGCATTTTTCAACTGCATTCTACTACTAGCTTACATCCCCTAGTTTAGAACCTAGACTAGTGATCAAAATTACTAGAGTTTATTTCATTTTTATAAATAATTCAATATTCTAGAGACAGGGGGCCAGTCTAGGTTCTCCTATCGTAGAATAAGTGGCCAGAAAAATGAGTCACAGTTGAGGATACCAAGTGAGACAGACTTTCGGTATCGGCTGGAATCAGTTTCAGTATTTACATATATCTTTCTGTCAATGGCCAATCAGATAACACAACAACCATTTCTCCATCACACCTCGGAATGAAGTGTCTACATAGGGTTGCTGTGTACCTATTTTATGAAAAGCTTTTAGCGATACCCTTGACCTCAGAATCACACTCAAATCCTGTAGAATCGAGGATAAAAGATCTGATTATGTCTCAAAATAAGTAAGGACAGATCTAGTATAGACATAAGACATAGAACTGTATTTCAGGTTTATCTAATTGACTCCAGACAAGTAAAAAACAATCTCTATATATACATGTATCAAAGATCAAAATTCAAAGATGGCATCAATTATTTGAAAAAAAATTGACAGTTTGCAAGTTATATTTCTAGAATTCAATAACTTGTATGAAAATTTCAAATGTTGAAAAAGAAGTAAAGTTTCCTATAATTTCCATGTTGATTTTTTTCTAGAATGTTTTCTCTAGCCAGCAATATATATACAAATTGATCTAAATTCCAAATGTGACTGAAACCCCAACTTTATCTCTCCTCTTCCTTAATTATTTGGAACGCAATAGGCAGAATGGTTATAGGGGGTAGAAAATCATTGATGTAGGTCCGTTTTAATCCCGCGTGCACGATACATGTGTCTTCATTTACATAGCAAGTGTTGCAGGTGATGATCTTGGATGATCAAGAAACGAATCGAAATCCCTAATCAAGTTCTACGAGTGGTCTGTAACATGGCATGAAATGGAATCCCTAACCAACTGTAAGTACCGCCTTGAACATGCCATTACGTAAACACATTTTACAAGGATATCAGCTGATCTCTGGATCTCTGGCAATTCTACTTCCGATAGACATCAAACCATGGAACTACTGCATAACACATGTACATAGCTATACTATCCACCTCAATATCGGTCAGACTTATATAATTACACACAAACTAACCGGAGGGAAACAGGGGAGACAAGTCAAAGAGGCTGGATGCTTGGGAGCCTATCGTGGGTGGACCAGTTTATTCTTCATTTTCAAATGACCCACAAGATGTGTTGGCAGGTCCCGATAGCAGAATTCCCTCCCCACGCATATCTGATCAAGTCGGATATAAGCTTGTATCAAACAGACAGCAGGTGTCTTGCATTACAAGCTGATGGAAAACCCAGATCTAAACAGGGAACTATGATCAATGTATCAGATACAAGGAAATTAAAAATTTGTTGTATGAGCGTTTTTGAAGTAAGACATACGATTCTGTTTGTCTTTAAAGCTTTGAAGGTGTTTCTTACACCTGTATCTGATGTTGAATCACACAATACTCTCGAGAGTTGATAAACCATGGTATATATTTTCCTCTACATTTAAAGGTTTGATTGTGTTTTTCTGTCTATTCACAGATGATTGTGAGTCAGCATGCATGTGCTTAATTAGTCAAGATCTCAACAAGTTTTAATCAAAATACAATTGCTTTGAAAAGATTTACCTTGTTTTCTATCAACTATTACAGTGTCTGAAGTTTACATGCAGAACATCTCTTTCGTATCTTAAGCTTAGGAAATGTTTCTTTGAAGTTCAACTACACCAGATGTTGTACTTAGGTTTGAGGACTCCTGTGCGACTTCAAATATAACCTCTAAATTTAGATTCTTACAAATCTTAACGTTTAAACCTTAGGGCAGTTATCTATATATACTGATCAAAGATTTGACTTTGACTCCTTTCAATATGTATCATAATGAAACAACCTAACTCTTTTATTCTTAAGGCTTCCGTAAATCATTCTTGCCAATGCAAGTCCTATTTAATTCAGGGATGTGGTTGTGCAAAAAGAGAAAACCAAAATATAAATGGAGGAACAGAGCTCACCCCTGAGAAACTGAAATATTTTCAATGTTTCAGAACAAATCAAGATCTTTCAAAATCATGGGGAAAACACACAAAAAATGGAAAAACTTCTAAAACAAGGAAGAATGACACCCCTATATATATTTAAGAGGGAGATTCCTAATTCAATTTTCACTATTAACTACGGCTTCTTAAATCAATGGAATTCCTCAAGTTGTTTTATCAAATTAATTTCATGTATACAATGTACATCGATCTGCTTAAATTGTGACATGGTGTTATGTGTATGTATTAAAGTACTTTTTGGGTAATTTTAGATTTTGCCATTTGTTTCCTATGAAAAATATGAATCGATTGCATTATGACTGTTTTGTAGCTTACCACAAGAGGAAGGTTCCTAACCGTATTCAGTTGAAAAAAATCTCCTCAATATATTACAAAAATACATTTTGCTTTGTTAGAAACCGTGACACTATACAGTGTAATATGCTTATAATTAATATATACGAGAAATGTACTTGTGATTGGGTGTTTCTCTCATACCGTTTATCCTGAAGAATACCTCTGTTTCTGTACATTGATGTGCACAGGTACATATACCGCGTCCCAGAGAAAAACTACGATGATATGCTTAATATTGGTATAATAACCAAATTATCATATTTTTTCTCTCTCTCAGTTGCGATATGTGCACTGGGTATCTAAAGAATTCTTCTTTTGACAAGTGGGGCAGAAACGAGTTCCTTTCCAATTCTCAGAATACAATTTTATACTGAAATATCATCAGTTATTTATTTTCAATGTGGAATATTTGAGATTCTGAAAATAGCAACCCCAGCAGGAATAGCTGGAGATTACTGGTAAATTTACAGGGCACACGGCTGCCAGTGTCAAGGATCTCTGCAAACAGTACAGTGAAGTGGGGGAGGCAAATTATTTACATTTTTGAAACTATTTATAAACTCATCCTTTGAGCCTTTCCAATCTTTTCACATAACTTATTCCCTGTACATACAATATCTAGTATATATATTCTATCAGTTTTTTCACTCTTCTAACCATTTCAAATATGTTTTACTTAATTTTTTAGTTTTTTTTTTGAAAAGAGATATTGTATGACCTCAGCATTTTCTCATACATTATTGTATCTGTGAACTTTGTTTTATTTTATTGTCCGATTCTATTTTAAGAAACTCATTTGGGAATTTGTTCCTTTTTATCTTTTACATAGACGTTTTGCTGATTATTTTGACCAGAATAAACAAGCTCAGGCAGTATAAAATGGCCAAGCATCATTGCCCTGTCAGTTGTAAAGCTTGGAGTATTTTGATAAAGTAATGTTTATACACCTCAGGTACATTCTACACCAGTAAAATGTAACATTTCTGGTACTATCCATCTGTAGCTTGTTTCTGAAATACCCCTTGTTAAAAAAAATATATTTTAAATTCAATATTTTTTAATATTTTATTGTTATTGCTTTCAATCCCTACTGATATAATGTTAAATCCAGCCACTAATTAAGTTTAGCATAGAAGCAATGGACAAGTGATATTTTCTCTGAAGTCTTCAAAAGAGGTTCAATACCAATATAAAAACCTGGGTGTAACTATTCAAGATTGCCAATTTTAACAAGATGTGTGCATCCCTAGACATAATCCAAATCAAGGGTGGCCGGCTGGTGCAGTAGATAGCGCACTTGCCTTCTACCAAGTTGACCAGGGTTCGATTCCCTGATCGGACATGAAAAGGTATGGGGTCACCTGCCCGACCACGTGGGTTTTCCCCGGGGTACTCCGGTTTCCTCCTACATTAAGACCCTACACACGCTTACATCTGGGCCAACAAGAGTGATTAATATAAGTTGAAATAACTTGTTTCATAATTGTTGTAAAATAAATAAAGTTATATATATATCACTGGACATACCCCCCTCCTGGTATTTGCTACATAAATCCCCCCCCCCTCCCTTATTTGCTAAGTATGCAAAATCCATGACTTTTTTAGATTTTTATGATTTTATTTGAGCCTAAATTTTAAGTAGTAAAACAGTTTGTTTTTAGTTTGAGTTTGAGTCAGCATTTAGCTTTTAAAAGTAAGTGGAGTTAATTGTTTGCTGAACATTTCATCTAATAATTTGAAGACGTCATTGGGCCAAATGTATAAAAACTGCATTACCTTGTCTTTTGGCCAACTTATTTTTAAAAAATCCAAAATTAAAGATGATGCTTCGTGGTGGATTGTTTTTTTGTTTGTGTTTTACGTCCTATTAATAGCTTTGGTCATTTAACGATGTGTCAGATTATAATTTTTGGTGGTGGAGGAAAGCTGGAATACCCAGAGAAAACCACTGACCTATGGCCAGTACCTGGCGACTGCCCCATGGCCACATAGGCCTCAAATCCGCGACCCAGTGGTGGAGGGCTAGTGGTAGCAGAATGTCAGGCGACTTAACCCGACTCCGCCACCACTGGACCCAAATGTCAAGGTTAGCTGCTCCTGTCAAACGCCTAAAAAACCTGATTAAAATAAACTTGAACAAACCTTCATTCGATAAGTGAAAACACAGTTCGTCTGCAACATCCGGACTTCTGCACACGTCTTTATTTACGACCCAATACTCCGGTCTGTCTAGTAACAAGTCGGAATCGTCAGGAAGGTCGTCAAGTTGGACTCTGGATGGATTGCACGTTGTCAAACCCACAGCGAGTCCACCAACGTAGGACCTGTCCACACCAAGAATCTGTATAATTATCTTCTCACCACACTTCAATGGCCGCGACGAGAACACATAGCCATTGCAATATTCGTCCTGAGAGCGTGTGGCCACCACTCGGTCCGAAGATAATTGGAGATTTTTACCAGTGAGCATGTGCCATTTTAGTGGTGTGAAGGTCAAATTTGCATAGTAACGTATCGCTGGAAAGCCACCAGGTGTCTCTGTGTTAGGAGCACTATTTATTGATAACGATGACAAGGAGGATGCAAGGTCTCGGTTCGCACTGACAGAAGAACTCGACGAAGTTGTCGGGGACATCACCATGTTGTTAAGGCGTACAGGCTCTGCAATATAGATATAACAGTGAGACAGGGTAATGATACCTGGTTATAACTAGAAACGTCATCCAGAGGATAACCAATACCCCCCGCAGATACTAGGTAGTTTATACATTTATAGTTACCTTGACCTTGAGGTCAACTTACTGAAATATTTTGACTCTTTACATATAGGCAGAGTTTTATCAATACATATGCTAAATTAAAGTTGGTAGTTTGAGTTTTCCAGACAAGTTATTTCGCATAAAGGGCCATAACTCCATTAAAAAGTGTTGAAATCTGACATTAAAATGCTGGTGGACAACTACAACATATACTGATCATTCAAGTGAAGTTTCAATAAAATCTGCCTGTTGGTTATGATGAAGTTTTCCAGATAAATTATTTCGCATAAAGGGCCGTTACACTCCTTTAAAGAAAGTTGAAATCTAAAATTAAAATACCGGTGCACAACTACATAATATACTGCCTGTTAGTTTAGATGGAGTTATCTGGACAAGTTACTACCTATAAAGGGCCATAACTCCCTTTAAAAAATTTGAAATCTGAAATTAAAATGCTGATGCACAACTACATAATAAATGTACACTGATTATTCAAGTGAAATTTCAATAAAATCTGCCTGTTAGTTTCTAGATGGAGTTATCTGGACAAGTTACTGCAGACAACAGACATCCAGAGTGATTCCATTATACATGTACCCCCCCCCCCCAACTTTGTTGCAGGGGGTATAATAATGTTAATGACAGAATATAGGAACAAAAGTTGTACCTATACAGATCAATTAACATGGCGGTATAATATTGTAACTTTGGTATTTCTTGCAAATAGGTTTTGAAATCTGAGTATTCACCATAACAACCAACATTTCTAGTCCAGTAAATATAACCCTATAAATAGAGAATAGTACATGCCTTTTTCCATATCACACCCAGTATCAAACCGAGACTGCAATATCAGCCCAAGGGCCGAAGGCTCAATGGCTGATATTGGTCGAGGGTTGATACTGGGTGTGATATGGAGAAAGGCATGTTTTGTTCTGTTTATTACATACTTACTAATATAATAAAAGCTACTATCTGATGATCTAATTTTTTTTTGAATTATTGAAAAAACAAAAATTTTCGAAAAAGGGGTGTGATACGGGTTTTGCGGGCTGATACAGGTTTTGGGGTGTGATATGATGGGGGCTGATACGGCTTTTGGGGTGTGATACGGCAGGGCTGATATGGGTAAGAGCAATTGTGTCTTATCCCATATATACAAAAAAAACGTATTTATTAGTAAGTATGTAATAAAGATCTTTATACAACCTCTAAAATGATAACTTAACTGCACAAACTCATATTTTTGCATACAAATGAAAAAATAACTGAGTGAAAACTACCTACCAGTACATATAAATACTGCTTACTTAGCTGCCAAGGGTAATTTCTATATATTCATTCATACCTACATGTAATTATACATATTCTCAATTTGAAAAGTTTTTTTAGCTTATTGAAATTATTATAATTAGTTAAAACTAAATTTGTAGAATATTCTATGGAGGGATTGGGGGTCTAATATATTTGCATTATTAGTGGTATCAGGGTATATTTAGGGGTGGTTTCATGGTGGCAAAGTGGATAGACACACTGGCCTTCTCTTTCAATAAGACAGCTGGGGTTTGATTCCCTGATCAGCCCTGAAAAGGTACTGGTCATCTATCTGACCGCCTTCTCTTTGAATAAGACAGCTGGGGTTTGATTCCCTGGTCAGACCTGAAAAGGTACTGGTCATCTATCTTACCGCCTTCTCTTTCAATAAGACAGCTGGGTTTTGATTACCTGATCAGACCTGAAAAGGTACTGGTTATCTATCTGACCGCCTTCTCTTTCAATACGACAGCTGGGGTTTGGATTCCCTGATCAGACCTGAAAAGGTATTGGTCATCTATCTGACCGCCTTCTCTTCCAATAAGACAGCTGGGGTTTGGATTCCCTGATCAGACCTGAAAAGGTATTGGTCATCTATCTGACCGCCTTCTCTTTCAATACGACAGCTGGGGTTTGGATTCCCTGATCAGACCTGAAAAGGTAATGGTCATCTATCTGACCGCCTTCTCTTTCAATACGACAGCTGGGGTTTGGATTCCCTGATCAGACCTGAAAAGGTATTGGTCATCTATCTGACCGCCTTCTCTTTGAATAAGACAGCTGGGGTTTGATTCCCTGATCAGCCCTGAAAAGGTACTGGTCATCTATCTGGCCGCCTTCTCTTTCAATAAGACAGCTGGGTTTTTCTATGGAGGGATTGGGGGTCTAATATATTTGCATTATTAGTGGTATCAGGGTACATTTAGGGGTGGTTTCATGGTGGCAAAGTGGATTGACACACTGGCCTTCTCTTTCAATAAGACAGCTGGGTTTTTCTATGGAGGGATTGGGGGTCTAATATATTTGCATTATTAGTGGTATCAGGGTATATTTAGGGGAGGTTTCATGGTGGCAAAGTGGATAGACACTCTGGCCTTCTCTTTCAATAAGACAGCTGGGGGTTGATTCCCTGATCAGACCTGAAAAAGGTATTGGTCATCTATCTGACCGCCTTCTCTTTGAATAAGACAGCTGGGGTTTGATTCCCTGGTCAGACCTGAAAAGGTACTGGTCATCTATCTGACCTCCTTCTCTTTCAATAAGACAGCTGGGGTTTGGATTCCCTGATCAGACCTGAAAAGGTACGGGGCATCTATCTGACCGCCTTCTCTTTCAATAAGATAGCTGGGGTTTGATTCCCTGATCAGACCTGAAAAGGGACTGGTCATCTATCTGACCGCCTTCTCTTCCAATAAGACAGCTGGGGTTTGGATTCCCTGATCAGACCTGAAAAGGTATTGGTCATCTATCTGACCTCCTTCTCTTTCAATAAGACAGCTGGGGCTTGATTCCCTGATCAGACCTGAAAAGGGACTGGTCATCTATCTGACCGCCTTCTCTTTCAATACGACAGCTGGGGTTTGGATTCCCTGATCAGACCTGAAAAGGTAATGGTCATCTATCTGACCGCCTTCTCTTCCAATAAGACAGCTGGGGTTTGGATTCCCTGATCAGACCTGAAAAGGTAATGGTCATCTATCTGACCGCCTTCTCTTTGAATAAGACAGCTGGGGTTTGATTCCCTGATCAGACATGAAAAGGTACTGGTCATCTATCTGACCTCCTTCTCTTTCAATAAGACAGCTGGGGTTTGATTCCCTGATCAGACCTGAAAAAGGTATTGGTCATCTATCTGACCATGCAGGTTTTCTCGCAGTACTTGATCATGAGAGCTCTGGCTTCCTCCCACATGAAGACCCCCTGTACACATCCGGATGAACAAAATTGATAAATATAAGTTGATTAAATTTGTTTTATATCTGTAGTCTACCATAATACAGAGTATATGGGATTATAGCCAAATAAAGAGACTAATTAAGCAGAAATAATTTTAGCAGTTCATATGGTTTGACAAATTTCCAGACATTACTAATAAAATTTGAACTTTTATTTACAAAAATCACCTCTGTCAGACTACCAGACAGGGATTCACCAGCAGTAAGCAGTGTACTATAGATATCTGTTTTAGATCACCAGTTGTATATGATGAAGTATTGCTGTGTGACGGTTGCCAACACAATGATCATGAGCTGACACTACTGTTCCTATACTAACTCCATTTCATTTTCTGACAGCATCACATGTCAGACTCGGAATCCCATAGGACCAATGGCAGAAACATCGACAGACATGGCTTACTTGGTCCAAACTTTCTATTGTTTTGTCTCAAAATAAACTTCTGTACCATTTTTCCAGCATCACTGGCGAGTAGCCAAACCCCATCACGTTCTATATGATCCCGGTGAAATGAGAGTAACACTTACTACGTGACCCCATTTCTCCTCTAGTCCAAAATTCAACAGAAAATTCCAGGGATTCCAAGAAAAAGCAAGAATAACATAGTTTTGGTATTTTTTCTGGAAATTTTACAATAAGGTAATAGGCAAAATTGGGTCAGAACCGCCATTGTTCTTGCTAACCTAATGTTTCCAATTACATAGCATTCTATTGGTACATATGTAGATCGGAGGAGCACAGCAGCTGTATAATCCAATGCCTACATAGATTCAGGTAATAGTCAAAAGTGATCTCTAGAACAGGGCTTGACTTGAGTTAAGTAAAGCTTGAACCTTTACAAAAGGTTTTTGTTAGAAAATCAAAAACCAAATCCTCTTGAGATAATTTAATGATAAGAATTCTTTTAATGATGGTGGTTTTCACATGATTCTCCGTAAATATACATCCTAGCGGTGAGTGATACCTCAACGAAATACTCCTTTTTACTGTTAGTTTTGAAGTTATTCATCTCCCTGACCATATGACAACAATTAAGATATTCGTTACAAGAACTATACAACTGTTGATTATTTCAGGTAACATCGTGTGTGTCATTCTATATATATATAGCTGCTACAAATCACTTTCAATAGTTCGTATATGTTGCCCATGTTGTTCTTAGAAATATCTTAACAAATTCAGGTGTACAATATATATTATGATATTGTATATGGATCTTAAATACGTTTAAAATCTGTTTCACATTTCATTTCGATAATTAAATCCGCAAAACTTCCAGCCCCTTGATGCAAAACTGTGAAAATACAAATGTTTACGATTGTAACGATTCAATATGGTAACGTTGAACTGTATTATGTAATTTTATCGTTTCAGAGTTGGTCTGGATATCAAGTGTTCTCTGAACCACCACTAAGGTTCATTAAAATACCTCATGCTTTTATATCTATTTCCAACTTGGAAATTCCCCAATTCGGTCCAAGGGTCAAATATCTAAACACATTGTAGAATGTTTATGGTACAATATATACAAAAAAGAAACAATTAAAAAAGCGGAATCAAAAAAGAAGTTAAGTGATCTCGGACTCACTATCATATACATATACACTACTTCACTTTGCCAAATCTGGTTTCTTTCAGAAACGCTGACCAAGCATTTAATATAACGTTGAGTACACATTGCACTGATGATATGACCTTTAACCAGCTCTACAATGACCTTCACATTAAGGGAACTGACCTTGGAGTGCTATGAGACACATATGTATCAACAACAAGAGGCCCAATGGGCCTGAATCGCTCACCTGGTATTAATCTCACACTACATGCAGAATATCAGTGTTTGATTCATAAGAACCTATTAAAAGATTTAAACATTTGACACCCGTGACCTTGAATGTCAAACAAGGACATTAGGTCGAACAGAGTTTATAGTCTTCCAACCCACCGTGCTACTAGCAAAATATCATCACCCTTGGCCTTTTTCTTATTAAGAAGTTGTTTAAAGGTTTTTAACATATTTGACCCCTGTGACCTTGAATATATGTCATGGTCATTCATTTGAACAAACTTGGTAGCCCTTCATCCCAGCATGTTACTGGCCAAATATCATCACCCTAGCTGTCTTGGTTATTCAGAAGAAGTTGTTTAAAGGTTTTAAACATAGTTGACCCCTGTGACCTTGAATATAAATCAAGGTAATTTATTTGAACAAACTCGGTAGCCCTTCATCCAAGCATGTTACTGGCCAACTATCATCACCCTAGGCCTCTTGGTTATTGAGAAGAAGTTGTTTAAAGGTTTTAAACATATTTGATCCCTGTGACCTTGAATATAAATCAAGGTAATTCATTTGAACAAACTTGGTAGCCCTTTATTTCAGCATGTTACTGGCCAGATATCATCACTCTAGGCCTTTCGGTTATTCAGAAGAAGTCGTTTAAAGGTTAAAAACATGTTTGACCCCAGTGACCTTGAATATAAATCAAGGTCATTTATTTGAACAAACTTGGTAGCCCTTCATTTCAGCATGTTACTGGCCAACTATCATCACCCTAGGCCTCTTGGTTATTTAGAAGAAGTTGTTTAAAGGTTAAAAACATATTTGACCCCTGTGACCTTGAATATAAGTCAAGGTCATTTATTTGAACAAATTTGGTAGCCCTCCATCCCAGCATGTTACTGGCCAAATATCAACACCCTAGGCCTCTTGGTTATTCAGAAGAAGTTGCTTAAAGATTTTAATGTATTTGACCCTGTGACCTTGAAAATAGATGAAGGTCCTTTATTTGAACAAACTTGGAAGCCCTTCATCCCAGCATGCTTCTGGCCAAATATCATCACCCTATGCCTTTTGGTTACTGAGAAGATGTTGTTTAAAGTAAAAAGTTGACGCCGGACGGACGCCGGACGGACGCCGGACGGACGCTGGACGACGGACAGACGACGCAGACCATGCCATAAGCTCTCTTGGCCCGAAGGGCCAGGGGAGCTTAAAATCAAGTGTCAATCTGAGGTCATAGTCCATGAAGGCATTTGACCTCCGACAATACATGTACACCTGAAAGTGTTAATTAAGTGACACGTCAAACAAAAATAGCTTTATGACCAGAAGTGAAAGTTAGGACCAGTATTTGACCTCTGACCCCTTGCAAAGACCTTAAATTTTATAAGGAGAAGGACCTGACAGTATTACGAGGGATCTTGAGGCCTAATAATGAAACAACAAGGAATGTTGCAGGTATAAATCGGTTCTATTCTGTTCATCTACAGGCACAAAGATTAAGGGAATCATGCAAACCAAGTTGCAACATGATACAAGAGGGACTTAATCTATGCTAGATTTTCCAACCCTTCCCAGACTGAAGCATGCAAAACTAGAGACAAAGAGGATTTTTAAAACATGTACCATATTTCATAATGATCCCAATATATTAGCACTTTTAAAACAGTGATATCCAACTTCATATACAATATTAATACAAAATTCAAGACTGCCTGATGGCATATTTGTGGGTATTTTTTCCCGGATTTGCTGCATATTTGAAATATGGAAAATAAATAGGAATATATGGAAATAGGAACCGAATGTTATGTATTGGAGCTAATAGGGTTTATTGAACATATTTGAGTTCTTCTTAAACTAGCTGGTTCTGTTGTAGTTATTATATACAATGGTTACCTGGATTTGCGAATTCCACTGCCAGTGTGTTGCCGTATATATCAAACAGCGCCCACAGAGGGAGAGATGTGTTGACTCCTGTGAAGAATAAACCCACATCTTCTCCATTCACACCATAGAACACATCACCATTACGAGTCACATAGAAATGTAGAGTATTATTTGGTGTAGCGTATCGTTCTGCCAACGCCTTCGCCCAGTTTCCCTGCTTGTTGGTCATGTCGGGACATGCATATCGCGGAAGGTCAGATCCCCGCAAACTTCCGGGGTCAATGTTCGTAAATCCAAACCGAAGCACTCCACTCCAGCTACTGGATGTCTCTGCAAATTTAATGTATACTTTTTCGTTGACGGCGATTGGTCGATCACTGAAGCATATAGCTTTGCAGAAGCTGTCGCCACGTTTGGCAATGCTAGCATCCGCATTGAGCTCCACATTGTCCCCACAGATAAGATGGAACTTGAGGGGCGAGGCTGGTTGGTACAGGCCTGCTAGCTCTCCTATCAGCCCTGCAAGTACACAAGAAATTCAAACATTTCAGATTTATAATTATAATGACATACATTGATATGGAAATATATAGAGTTGAAGGCCAATACAATTTCCTATGATTTCTATGAAACTTAAATATGCGATATCTATTTGACAGAGAACAATTAATAACTATACTTATAATCTGTTAAATCAACATTGAGTCACTTTTTCATATATACATTTTTTAGTGTAAATGTACAAAACATAGCACTGTAATTATAATCATAAAACCATGATTATAGAATTTCATATGGTACAGCATCATGTATGCATATGTAATGTTAACTTGTAAACACAGAGAGTTGGAGATATATCAGTACAGTACCCCTTCACTTCATCTCCCAGGTTTGTCTTTACATATATCTTCATAACAGAACATAAATAAAAAGATAGACATAACCCAATCAATTCAAACATTCACTAGGAAAACATTTCTAGCAGCGACGTAAAATTTTATTTTCAAGGTAATAACCAGATTATACATTGATAGGATATATTATATAAGGATACGTACATTTCTTTTTTTGTTTTTTACCTTTGAAATGAAACTTTTTTTCTTTCATATTTTATCATGATAAAAAGGGAGTAAATATGTACATCAATTCGATGGTGACATAATATACACCTGTATACAATATATAATGGTGGTAACATCAGTATCGGAAATTTATACGTTGCATGCACGATGCAGGTATAGAACAGTTAAGAGAGACAGTCAGACCGTTAACAAGCTTAGAAGTTTTAAATCTACAGGCAGTGATAATAAAACAGACACCTGAGTTGATCATGATGGAGTCATCCTCCCAGGTCTGAATATCCTCTCCTCTCTCTAGATCTTTAAACTACATGACATAGCTATATAGGTACAGGCACACTTTATATACATCTATATATTAGTATTGAACCTTAAACTTACTGATACCAGCAGTAACCATGATTGATCATATTTTTGTTTAATATCAGCAACTTGGCACTTTCGATAATAGTGTTGTTTGTGTTTTTAATCAGTACTGGGGTTGATTAACTTTTTTTTTTTCCAAACTGTTGATCAGATACCAATTGATCAAGGTTTATCATTCCAGATTTGGTTGTAAATGCAACAGCCAGACCTGAGGATTCAAACACGGGATCCTCCAAACTCTGAACCAACACTCTACCTACTGAGCTGCCTGGTCATTGATGATCACCAACCTAGTTCATTCTTGCTACATTCCTCCCACTTTTTTTTTAAGTCTCCGCTCCCGCAGACTCAACTATTTACAACTCAGATTCCGGTATCCCTATGCCAAGCTTTCACCCAATGCTTGAAACAAGGGTTGGCAATGCAAGTTCGCCAATTTTGTAACGGGAGAAAGAGAAATACAACGGCCAGACAGGGATTCGAACCTGGGACCCTCCAAACTGTAGGTGGATGCTGTACCTATTGAGGTATGTGGTCGCCATCGATCGTTCCAGTCCAGTCCTGTTTTGTTTAATAAGCCAATCTGTCAAAAAAAAATCCTACAATTTTTTTTTAAATGTATGAAAAGGAGGGTTTTGTACGACTTTTTGGTATCAAACTCTTCATCATCCATGAGCTGATTTCAAGGTCTACCGGTGATTATGGTTATGAAGTTGGACAAAAGGCCCAGAGGGTTTGTATCGTTCACCTGTTTCTTTTGTTACATGAAACTGACATATAGGTTACATCAGACCAAATTTGGAAACTACACAATAAATTGTAACATCTCTAAAATGGTTCTTAAGATATTGTTGTTTGAAATTTGAAATTTTAATTTTAAAGCTTTTAATCCATGTTGACCTTTGACTCAAGGTAGCACTTAAAGTTGATTTTTGACCTCATTACTGTAATAAAGAAAACGATTCACACAGCTGGTCTACATAACATACCAAAGTCTCATAGTATCATGACTCTAGACCAAATGGTTCTAAAGATATTGTTGTTTGAAGTTTGTTGTTTGAAGTTTTTAACATATTTAACCCCTGTGACCTTGAAATGAGGTCATGGTCTTTCTAATGAGGAAGCGTTATAGCACTTCATCCCAGGTACCTACTGGCCAAATATCATGACCCTGGGCCTTATGGAACTTGAGAAGATGAGTGTTAAACCTTTTAACCCATGTTGACCTTTGACCCCCGACTAGCACTTAAAGTTGACCTTTGATCTTATTACTGTAATAAAGAAAAAGATTCACACAGCTGGTCTACATAACATACCCAACTATTATGACTATTAAGTCCAAATGGTTCTGAAGATATTGTTGTTCAAATGTTTTTACATATTTGACCCTTGTTACCTTGAAATTAGGTCAAGGTCATTTTAATGAGAAAACTTTAAGGCATTCCATCTGAAGCTGACATTAACGTAATGTCCGAAACAGTTAAATGTATATAAAAATATAAAAAGGTCAAGGTCACAAGGCCCTGAAAAGCTCAGTTGAGATGTGTACCAGTATACTAAGTTCCCAAAGGTCAATGAAGGTCAAAGCAAAAATGTCCATAACAGTTAAACGTATATGATGAATGCAGTAAACATGTGTATATGAAATTCTGTCAGAGTGAAATACTGATGTGCTGTACCAGTGTGTACCGTACAGGTTTGGAAGGGTACCTTATCAAAGGCCGTTATCTCTGTAACTTGGGGCTTCCATGCTCCACCACCATGGCGTCCCTATCTCTGAGGGAGATAAAGATGTTGATAGGCTGCTTTAGTGTGGGAACTTCTCCTCTCCAACACCTGGCCTGAGTGTTGTTAAGACTGCACAGACCTGTTCACAGGGCCCTTCTCTAAGTTTGTAACTTGTTCACATGGCCCTTCTTTTAGTTTGTAACCTGTTCACATGGAGTTTATAGCCTGTTCAGACGGCCTTTCTCTTAGTTTATAGCCTGTTCAGAGGGCCCTTCTCTTAGTTTATAGCCTGTTCAGAGGGCCCTTCTGTTAGTTTATAGCCTGTTCACTATGCGTTTCTCTTAGTTAATAGCCTGTTCACAGGGCCCTCCTCTGAGTTTATAACCTGTTCAGATGGCCCTTCTCTTAGTTTATAACCTGTTCAGATGGCCCTTCTCTTATTTTATAACCTGTTCACATGGCCCCTCTTGGTTTAGAACCTGTTTAGATGGCCCCTCTCTTGGATTAGAACCTGTTCATATGGTCCTTCTTTTTGTTAAAAACATGGTCATTAAGGCCCCCTTTTTTCTATTAAAAAGTTGTTGAGATAGCCCTTCTTTTCGTTCAAAAATTGTTTAAAGGCCTTCTTTCTGTTAAAGAACTTGTTCAAAGGGCTCTTTCCTTCTGTTAAAATATTGTTCAGAGAGCCTACTTTCTGTAAAATCTTGTTCAAAGGGCCCACCTTTAAACAGATTAGCACATTCATGAACTGGTACACCGGGGCCCACAAATACACAATAGAAAACAACATTACATAAACCTTAAACAGACACATTCAAATTTAGCCCGATAATTTATGTGCGAAAGCACTAAAATAAGACCATAGCTAAAATATGTATGTTTACAGTATGTTATGTGTGTGTATGTATATCTACTCTGAATTTAGTATATGATAATAAGCCACCTCGACACAAGTCTTTACTCATTATATTGGACAAGACTGTCAAGAGGTTTCAACCCTACAACCAGGTCAGGGAATCTTCCTCATCATATTCATGTCCATACAGTTTACAGGAAACAAAAGTCACAGCTCATCATTCTAACCCGAGGTAAGGTAAACAGTGAGTAATCGGATAAATGAACCATCTGGTCCATTCATCTAATGTACATTATCCTCCTCCCAGTACACCTCCAGAATATTACACCTCCCTCAAATAAATCTACATCTAGGATACAAATGCCTGTCCAAAAGACTAATAATCTTTTCCCACCTAAGGGGTAAGGAAAATAAATCTCAAGCCAAGGGTTAAGGTTCTTAAATGTCTAGCCTCGGAGGCTTTCCCAAGGGCCGGACTTTTAAGAATCTTACCCCGAGGGTTGAGATATTTCTGTCTTACTCCTAAAGTGGGGAATGATTATTTTTCTTCCAGATCAAATACAAGTGGTGATTTCATGAAATGCAAATAATTGTTTCTTAATTTCTAACAGGTTGGAGTTATCTTCAATGATCTTCTATTGTTAAGGTGACGTACGTCATTGCTTTGTTGACGTGACCTCATGCAATTCTTATGACGGTAATCACCTTGTCGTTTACCTGGGATATCTTTCCCCTGGCTGGAGATATTCCCCTGGATATCTCTGTCTAATGTGGGAGAATAATAAAATCTCTCACCCCCTCAATTCAGCCTGTAATGTTAACATTACATTATGCATATGATACATATACTGGGTGAACAGGGTAAAAAAAGAAGAATCATTCACTCCCTCAAGGGTGTGAGATAGGGAAATCTCAACCAGTGGGGAAAGATTCTTAAGTTGCAAAACACTTGGCAAAGCCTCGTGTTTGGCAACTTCAGAATGTCCCCTCGGGTTGAGATTCCTCTGTAAGACTCATCCTCAAGGAGGTGAATGATTCTTTTTCTCTTACCCTGCAGTTCACTCATTGTGTATCATATGCATAATGTTATGTTAAGGTTACAGACTGAATTCAGGGTTGACTTGACGTTGATAGATTGTTTATGTGACGTCATACCATTGTTATGAATAGGGGAATCCCCCACCCCCACCCCCCTGTCTCAACCCTAGGGTGAGATATGGATATACCTCACACATGTAAAAGTGTGGATACACCTGTCCAGGGTAAGAAAAAACAGCATCATCTCTCTATCCATACCCTCTTTCCCTGTTTATACACCCCTCTTCTGCTCATCCTAGAGCGGCCATGCCCTCAACCCTTTACCAGAACCACTCTCCCCACCTCAACACATCCTTCCATAAGACAATGTATTGCCTTTGACCTTTGACATAGAAACACTCCCCTACAATGTTCTATAACCTTCTTGTCATCCACCTGACCCAAGCCTCAAC